GGGTATTTAGAGAATCTGCAGGAGATGAGACTCCATGTACACCACCACCAGAAGATCAGGTATAAAATGTATCTTTGCATTCTAAGCTAAAAATAACCATACGTTAACTGTACATAGCCCAAAATGATAGAGGCTAATTCCATAAATAGAAAGAAAGACAAAGGATTTTCCATTGTTAGCATGAAACTTGGCACACATGACCGCCTAGGAATGAGAGACTTGTGGGAGAAAATGGGACTCGAATCGGTTTCCCGGTTTGGGAGTTAAGGCCGAATTTCACTCTAGGTAAACTAGTTTCTTAAGAAACTTAGAATACGAGATGTTAACACCCCAAAATCACCAAACGGCGTCGGAGTAGCACGAAACTTGGCACACACGACCGCCTAGGCACGAGAGACTTGTGGGAGAAGACGGAACTCAAATCAGGTTCCCGATAAGACGGGACTCAAATCAGGTTCCTGGTTTGGGAGTTAGAGCCGGATTTCACTCTTAAGAAACAAACTAGTTTCTTAAGAAACTTAGAATTTGAGGAGTTAATACCCCAAAATCACCAAACAGTGTCGGAGTAGCACAAAACTTGGCACACACGACCGCCTAGGCATAAGAGACTTATGGGAGAAGACGGGACTCGAATCGGATTCTCGGTTTACGAGTTAGAGTTGGATTTCACTCTTAATAAACAAACTAGATTTTTAAGAAACATAGAATTTGAGGTGTTAATGCCCTAAAATCACCAAACAGCATCGGAGTAGCACTAAACTTGACACACACGACCGCCTAGGCACAAGAGACTTGTGGGAGAAGACGGAACTCGAATCAGATTCCCGGTTTGGGAGTTAGAGCCGGATTTCACTCTTAAGAAACAAACTAGTTTCTTACGAAACTTAGACTTTGAGTTGCTAATGCCCCAAAATCACGAAACGGCGTCGGAGTAGCACAAAACTTGGCAAACACGACCGCCTAGGCACGAGAGACTTGTGGGAGAAGACGGGACTTGAATCGGGTTCCCGGTTTGGGAGTTAGGGTCAGATTTCACTCTACGCAAACTAGTTTCTTAAGAAACTTAAAATTTGATGTGTTAACGCCCCAAAATCACCAAATGGCATCGGGTAGCATGAAACTTGGCACACACGACTGCCTAGGCATGAGAGACTTGTGGGAGAAGACAGGACTCGAATCGGATTCCCGATTTGGGAGTTAGGGTCGGATTTCACTCTAGACAAACTAGTTTCTTAAGAAACTTAAAATTCGAGGTGTTAACGCCCCAAAATCACCAAACGACGTTGAAGTAGCACGAAACTTGGCACACATAAACGCCTAGGCACGAGAGACTTGTGAAAGAAGACATGAATTGAATCAGATTTCCGCTTTGGGAGTTAGAGTTGGATTTCACTCTTAAGAAATAAACTAGTTTCTTAAGAAATTTAGAATTTGGGATGTTAATACCCCAAAATCACCAAACAGCATCAGAGTAGTACGAAACTTGGCACACATGACCGCCTAGGCACAATACACTTGTCGGAAAAGATGGGATTCGAATCGGGTTCTCGGTTTGGGATTTACAGCCGGATTTTACTCTAGGCAAACTAGTTTCTTAAGAAACTTAAAATTCAAGGTGTTAACGCCCTAAAATTACCAAACGACATCGGAGTGGCACAAAACTTGGCACACACAACCACCTAGGCACAAGAGACTTGTGGGAGAAGATGGACTCGAATCGGATTCACGGTTTGAGAGTTAGGGTCGAATTTCACTCTAAACAAATTAGTTTCTTAAAAAACTTAGAATTCGAGGTGTTAACGTCCCAAAATCACCAAACGGTGTCGAAGTAGCAAGAAACTTGGCACACACGACCACCTAAGCACGAGAAACTTGTGGGAGAAAACAGGACTCGAATTGGGTTCCCAGTTTGGGAGTTAGAGCCGGATTTCGGTTTACGCAAAATTATTTACTTAATTATTTTTATAATTGTATAGTAGTTAAATTTTTATGTTTTTTTGAAATTAACATATTAACACATAATTATATTGTCATTAATTATATTTATTTTTTTGTTTTCAGATATTTCCCGAATAAGAGTTTGTTTCTTGTGGAATGCATGTCTATGAAGAATGCGACTAATTTTTGTTTTTGTTACCCACGAAGAATGATGAGCAAAACTTGTAATTTTGGTTTATGTTATTTTGAATTATGAACAACATTATACATTTAAACATTATATATGTATTATAGAACATTATTTAGTAGGGTAATTTTGTTGATCTGTAGTTATGAATGTAAAAATATTTTTATTATGGAGAAATTGTTTTTTCCATACAGGAATTTTTATACTATTATGAAATTATTGATTTCTTTTTCAATTGTTTTTCATTTAATACAGATAATTTTAATATTTTCAATAATTATATTGCATTTTTTTTTTTTTTTTTTTTCAACGGCCCCACACGAGAAATTGTTATTTCTATATAGGATTTATTATTGTTATTATGCAATTATTGGTTTTTTTGATTTTTTTTTTCATTTAATTCAGGTAATTTTAATATTTTTATTAATAATTATATTGCAGGTTTTTTTTTTTTGCGACAACACCATATTGCCGCAAAAAATATTAGAAACATTGGCATGCCATTGCAAAAAAACAAAACCATTCGCGACAGTATTTTTTGCCGTCTCAAATAAAACTTTTAGCGACGGTTAACCGGTGCCGTCGCAAAAGGTTTGACTTTTTTACATATTATATGCGGTAGTAAATTGCCGTCGCAAAAGGTAACAATTGCCGTAGCTAAAAAAAGGCAATGGCATGATGTCGTCGCTATAAGGTTTTTGCAACGCCCTCTGTTGTGACCCCTCATTTGCGGTCGCTAAAACTCTTTTGAGATGGCATTAAGAGTATTAGCGACAGTATCGTGCCGTCGCAAAAAACCGAAATTTTTGTAGTGACTCCAACTGACCTTGTAATCTATTCGTTTGAAATGTTCTTTAAAAATCAATATGAAAATTTGTATTTAAATCATGTTTAAGCCCCTAATTTATGCTGGATTTTGCATACAGTTTGAAGAAAACACTGTACCGTTTGATTGAGCACTGTGTGATCATGTCAAAGCCATATATACCCAGAAATGGTTGCGTGATTCATATCTTGGGGGATGAATGTATATGCAAGCCAAACAAATTTGGCAACGGATGCATAAAATATAGTATCAATTTTAACCAATACAAAATGTTAAAAATATCACAAAATTTATAAATATGGACAATTTATATTGGTAGTCCATATATTTTGCTTCTTGTACTATTTTTTTTTCTTCTTGTACCATTTTGATCATTGTACTTACAATTCCATTTAGTTCCATAACTTTCACAATGACTAAAAATCCCCTTTAATTTGGCAATGGAATCCCAATTTAATTTGTACGTAACTTGATTATAGGAGAAAATTTCATTGGAGTATCTAATCTAATCTAATTTTTTTTTTTTTTAGATTAGGAAAAAAAATCTTCATTGCAAAACTGATATCTAATCTAATTTATCATTTACAATATGATTTATTTTTTTATTATATAAATTATTAAAAAAAATTGTCTAGCTTATTAATATTAATTTATATTAAGCTTTTTATTTAATATGAAATTCTTTATTATGAAACATTTATATTTAATTTAAATTTTATACATCAATATACAATATGTGTGAATAATGAGGGACTTACATGTAGACCTTAATAGATGAACTTATTGCCCAATAGATTTTATAATAATTAACGGTATTTTTCATCAAACACTTATAAAAAAAATCACTAATTGTTAATTTCCAGTGACAAGTTAAAAATTGTCACAAAAAATGTTATTGATTATAAGTTTTGGCGACGGTTTAAAAAACGTCACAAAAAATGTTACTAATTTTTAACTTTTAGCGATAGTTTGAAAATTTTGTTACTGAAAGATGTCACTAATTGTAAATTTTAGCAACAATTTATAAAAATCGTGACAAAAAAGTCACTAATTATTATTTTTTGACGCTATATGAAAAAAAATCATCACAAAAAATTATTTTTAACGATGATTTTATTAGGACTTATTTTCAATAGGATTTTATGAGAATTAAGTCCAACTATTATGACATGTTGATAGTTTATCCATAAATGTAATTCAAAATAATATTAAAGAAAAAAATCAATATTCTACATAATAATCTATGTAATTTTTTCTTAATCCAAATACAACATATTTATATTTAATTTTTTAAATAAATTTTATATAGATTCCATTTCTACATATTTTTATTTTTCAAATGAATATAAAATAAAATTAAATAATTAGAATCACTTTTAATTTTATGTTACTAATTCTCATTCCAATTTAACGATTATTTTTAATACCAAAATGAATGTTTATTTTACTATATTATAATCTAATAAATATCATACAAAGTCACACTGCAAGAAAAACGACATACAGTGACGTTTTTTTTATGACGTTTTCAAAAACGTCGTGAAATCTGTCCAGATTTTTTAAATTTCAAAAAAATTAAACTAAACCATCTCATTTTGTGCACCGCTTATTTCCTTTAAACAGTGGCTCAACTCAAGGCTACGTCTTCTATTCTGATCGAACAGAGGCATGACTTTAGCAAGAGAGATAAATCGAGGCGTTGGATCTTTGAGGCATCGGATCTTTGATCTCTTCGATCTCCATCAATTCTTCGGTTGTTTGATATGAAAAATGTTGTTCTACTCTTGATTTGAGCGTATATCTTCCTGATTGTTCGAATCCCTATGATCTAAATCGATCTAGGGCTCAAGGTTAGGGTTTTCTGATAAAGATTTGCTACATTCACACAAGATCTATAAAATTTCATGGCTAAATCTAACGATTTGGAATTGTTTTCTCTCGATTTAGTTGATTTCCAGCTTTTTTTGCTTTTGTTTTGTGTTTTCTCCTTTCGTTTTTGTTGCTTTACTCTTTCTAGTCCTTGTGTGGAAAACTCTTCTCTTTCATCAGATTGAGCAGCAACAATGGTGAATCGATTTATCTAGGGTTTCGAGTACGGTGTTAGTGTCTCTGATCATGTACGGGACAAGCAGGTGGCGTTGGATGTGGATCGTTGGAAATAGTGAGTAGAAGCTCAACGATGCAGAGAAAAATTGTGTATTGAAGGTGGAAGCAACGGTGGGCTTCTTATTGGGGCTTGCATTAATCAGGTATAACGGTGTTGATTCATTTTCTTGGTGGCATTTTTTGGGTTTATTCATTTGTCATAATACATCGTGTCTATAAACTAAATTGTAAAATTTTGTGGTTACAGAGGCTTGATCTTTTTGGTTGTGCTCTTGCTCATGTTGGTGTTATGGATATGCTTAGATTTCACAAATTCACTATAGGTCAGCCAGCAATCTGTGGGTTCACTTGGTTGATTTATTTTAGTATCACTTGTTGATTTTTAGGTTTCTTTTCCAGGTCATAGATGGACATGTGACTTTGGCTGCTCAGAGGAGGAAGAGTTCCATTGGCTTATCAGGTGAGTGAATTTATTTTCATTGAATTATCTGCCTGTATAATGTTCTTACTTTGAAATTATAATTTTTTAGATATTTTTTTGGTTTGATATAAATTCACAAATTCACTATAGGTCAGCTAGCAATCTGTGGGTTCACTTGGTTGATTTTTAGGTTTCTTTTCCAGGTCATAGATGGACATGTGACTTTGGTTGCTCAGAGAAGGAGGAAGAGTTCCATTGGCTTATCAAGTGAGTGAATTTATTTTCATTGAATTATCTGCCTGTATAATGTTCTTACTTTGAAATTATAATTTTTTAGATTTTTTTCTGTTTGATATAAAATATGTTAGTTAATCTCGAGTGTTATTGTTTGGCGTTCACCTCTTAATCACAAATTATTCCTCATTTCCAACTTTCAAATTACATTTTAGTGATACTAAAATGCAGTTGACTTGCATACTTTGTTAAATGAAAAATATGTTCTATGCATTATTTAAGTATCTGTTTTTTTTTTTTTTTGGCAAGTCTTGAGTAAACTCATTCAGTTCTGTGTCTTAGTGTGTGGCTCTTAATGACTGTTATTTATTGGTTCAACTTTCACTGAAGTTAATGGAGAATCATAGACCAATTTCCCGCGATTGTTTATCCATCATCAGTTAGCAAGTAGTCAGTTCTCGTTTGATTTTTGAGCTGGGTTGCTTTTTCTTTTAGCTTTTCATCACTCGGAAGTTTTCAGCAAACGGGTAGTTGGGTAACTATTTTATCATTTTGAATCTTTGCCATTGTTAAAATTTCTCTTCAGGTACTCGCCACTGCATAATGTTAGCAGACCATGGGAACAATCCTCTGATCAGTTTTCTCAGTACCCAGCTACCATGTTATTGACAGCTGATCATGATGATCGGGTTGTGCCATTACACTCATTAAAGTTATTAGCGGTGAGTCTTTAATTGCTACAATTATGTTTTACTTCCTATGTTATTTGCTTTGATTTGCCCTACATCTGAAGATTGAATTGTCTAGTTTCTTGCTCAAGTTTTGTCAATGAGGTTCACCTCTTAAATGTTATAATATTTATCCACCTTCTTGTCAGGGCATAAGAAGATAATAAATTGAATGGCTTAATCACAATATATGATTATCCTCGTGTGTCTATATATATACTGAATTGAGGTGGTTACAATTTAGGAAGATAGAATAACAATAAAATCAAATATAAGGAAATATGCCTAAAATCCCATAATCACACAATATACCGGATTCACACAATATACAGGATTCGTATATTCCAACAAGGACCGTCTAGGTTAGATCTGTGTGAGGTTCTATGATTGAATTGATTATATTAAATTATATTGTGTGGAAATAACTGAATAAAGTTCTATATTTATATCTACAAAAATTATATACTTTAGGAATTGTCTATATTGAGTTCCAGTAAAGCATATGTAAAAACTCTATCATAGAACTTACATGCAACAAAAAGAAATCTAGTAGTCTTGTGAAAGTAAGGAATGATGGTCTTTTATTACAAGGGAAATTGGAATAATATAAATTGAAGTTTTATTTTTGGTACAAATGATAAAAGTGCACATTAAACATTTTTTTTGTTGTTTTTTTCACACTACTTATCTTAGGAACTATTTTTTATAATTTAACCCCTAACTATTACTTTTCACTTTTTAAATTCTCATATAATTTAACAGCACAATATTAAATGCTATTAAATGAAATTATGAAATGGATGTTATACATGTGCATTATTCTATTTATATTTGGCCGACTTTTAACAAATATGAAAAAGAGAAAGATGATTAATAAATCATGTGAATCATTGCATTTGGATCCTAGGTGTATGACTTTGGAACAAGGACCGTCTAGGTTGGTATTTTTGTAACATTTTATCTCACATTTTTGTATAATGTGTCTGGTACTTTCAGTGCACACATTCTTTTTTCTTTGGAATTTGATGTGCTACCATATCTGCTAGTTCACACACTATCTACCGAAAGTATAATACTTTATGTGGTATGCGTACATATGCATGTGTAATTTTTGGAAACCATCTGGTGGATTTGGAGATCGTGGTGTGAAAGGAATGATGCTAGCTGCAAAGTATGCCAGAGAAAATAAAGTTCCATATCTTGGGATTTGTTTGGGCATGCAGATTTCTGTTATTGAGTATGCTAGATCTGTAAGTGACTTTCCTTCCAATAGATTGACATGTTTCATGTGACAGACCATGTACTAACCTTATTTTCATCACATGTTTTAGGTTTTGGGTTGGGAAAAGGCAAACAGTACAAAATTTGACAACGAGACACCCAATCCTGTTGTAATTTTCATGCCATAGGTGCTTGCATTGTATTACATTTTTTTGAGCTACTCCTTTGCAAGAAACACTGGTTATAGCAAATTAATAACCATCATCTTTCTATATTTATACAGGGTTCAAGAACACATATGGGAAGCACAATGAGACTGGGGTGTTGCAAAATGCTGTTTCAGACTCCTGATTGTATCACTGCAAAACTGTAAGAGATATCAATGCTCCATTTAATAATTTCCAAAAGTGAACCCAACATCCCTTTCTGCGAGATATGAATGTCCACATTTTCCAATCAAGTTTCTTTGATTTTTTCATCTTCCTTCATGCATGCATAATACTATATTCTCTGTTTATTTCTAGGTACCATAATTCAGAGTATGTGGATGAACGACATCGGCATAGATACGAGGTTAGTTATGAAGATTGATTTGGTGGAAGAAAAGTGTTCATAGACATAATACTTATCACGGGATATATACTTGCCCATGGCATTATTGTTATAGGTGAATCCAGATATGATTGACTTTTGGTTGAGCTGATTTTCTTTACTAGACACTTGAGAAGGTCCTAATAATCGAACCTCATACTATTTTCCGGACCCTTTAGGTTGAAAACAAGTGCATAAATGTTTTTGTGTTTATTTGCTAGATGGCTTTCAGTTTCGGGATGAATTTCGCAATTTGCAGTTTTTATACGTTTACATGAGAAACACTAGTTTTGATAGTTTATTTTCTCAGTTCATGTTTGGTGGCTCAGAAAAGTATGTTCTTTTAAAGTCACATTATTTGAACTATTTTAATATCTTCATAGCTTACTCTTTTAGTTTTCCTTTACTTTCTCCAGATCTTAGAACTTCCCGGTCATCCATTCTACGTGGGAGTGCAGTTCCATCCAGAATTTAAGTCACGGCCCGAGAGGCCTTCAGCTCCGTTTTTTGGTATTTAGTGGTTAAATGAATTTATGCATTTAATTGACTGACTATTTTAACCCAGATCTAAACAATTCCATCTTAAACATACCAAGGTAGGAGGTATTCAAATGTTTGTATGCAGTTTATGAAATGTTCATTTTATTATATATACATTCAAAAAAGATCATTCACTTTAATTGAATGAACCTTGCAGAGGAAGTGTTGGGTTTTCACAGCATTAGCTTCTCACTCATGTTCGTGTTTTTCAAGCCAATATTTTCACTGGCTTCATTTGCTATTGTTCACATGAGGTAGTAGTAATGACTTGCGCTTCTGATCTGAGAGAAGATAGAAAAAAACTTCTAATGCTCCTCCTTTCAACGTGGGAAAAGGAGAGTTTTACGTCCTCCGAGAATTGAACAGTTCATTTTTGTGTATGGGGTTTGCATTCACACTTCTTGATCCTCGATAAATAAACTAAAGGTCGGGCAATGACCGGAAAACTACCATTTTCTGTACAAAAATCAACAATGATGACCAACTGAAATTTCTAGTACATTTTTCTAAAGCGCTTGCTTGTGGATTCATGTCATGCTATTTGCTTCCCAATCGATGAATTGCCACATGTAAAAGCCAGCAGATTGCTTTAATTTGATGCCTTGTATACAATTCCATAAAGAAAAGTTGATTAACTGTATTTTTATTCCAATATAAGCTTTTTCCTAATGATCTATCTATCTTCTATCTTAACAGTTGTGATTTTGCATTGTAGAACTTATATTGGCAGCAACAGGGCAAGTAGAAGCGTATCTTAGCAATCATCAGAATGGAAGTCTATAAGAAACTTGTCCAAGTCTCAATACATCGGCATTACTTATACAAGGTATTCCATTATCTTTTCTTTTTATTATTAATTTTTTTTGCAAGTTATTTTGTTACATGGAGGACCAAGGTCATAAACAGAAACTAACAGAGGAACCCTGTGACAAGACCTGATACAGCGGAAGATTCACCCTTTGAGTCGGATCATATTTAGCTAATAGTAACAAATCAGTCTGTAGTTTCCAGGGTAGGTTAGTTTTTGAGATGATAAGATTAGAGGAAACCTTGAATTCTAAAAATTTGTCATACTGTTCCTTTGATCCTATTGATTATGCTTCTTGGGCCCTGTTGGTTTAGATTTAGACTTCACACAGTCAGCTTTGGGGTGGCAAGAACAGACTTAAGCTGCATCATCTAGTTGAAAATGTAAGGAAGACAAAATTAAGACTGGCTAAATGTTGATTGAACTACAATTTTTCAAGCAACATATGGACTAGATCTAATGGTGATGCTTATGGAGGTATTGTGATCATTCTAATGTTTAGTACCTGTGAATTGATTTTTAATAAATTTTGCTGACATGGCTTCTATCTTGTTGTCAATTGTGGCTTGATTTTGTGTTTATTCATTCTGAAATACTTTTTATTCCTTTGTTTTACTTTCAGGCGTATGCTTGGGGCTTTAATATATGCAGCTGGCAGCGCCACTTAAATCCATATTGCGACAATTTGCTTTATCTGTTGGATTTGGGCCAAAATTGAAGAAAATGAGCATTGAAAAAGCATATCTTCATGATGAATTAAGGACAAGTTTTGATATAATTCAGCAGAAGCATATATAAATTATTGCAAACAAATATTATATGAAGGCCTGTCACCAAGATCTGGAGGACTTGGCCAGCCCAAGATCAGCATGAATGTGAAGTCATCAGATTCATCTAACTCCCGTTTTTTGTGCTTGCATTCCTTGTCATGAGCTCAGTACCTCCTCCTTTATGGGGTAGATTAACCTCACTTTTGTTTTCCTTGCATTCCTTGGCTCTCTCTCTAGTTCATTGGAAGATTTAAATCAATTTTCCTGAAAAGCTATTGGCCACTTGCGTAGGTTACAATTCAGTCAACCTTCTTGTTGGTTACAATTCACTTTTGGATATGTTATTTTGTTATTAATGGTGATTGGATATCAAATTGAATGGGAAAGTGAGTTAATGTTGCATTTTGAATAAGAGTTATTATTTCATATTAGTGCTGCTTTTAGTTTAATTACAGGTATTTTTTAGTTCAATCATATAAAATTAGCACAATTAAAAATAAAAAAAAGACTATCACGACGTTTCTAAAACTGTCGCTAAATGTTACATTGGTGTTTGGATTTTTTTTGAAAATAGAGATACGGCGGCGTTTTAAAAACGTCACTAAATAGCTTGGTGACATCATCTTATAAAACACCGCCTATAGTCATATAGCGACGTTTCTAAAGCGTCATAAAGTTATAGCGACGGCCGCATCTTCGGCGTTTGGTATCAAACGTCACAAAAAGATTTAACGGCGTTTTTAGGACCTATAGCGGCGTTTCTTAAATGCCGCTAAAACCCTCATTTCCAGCAGTGTCAATAGATGATAATTATACTTTTATAGTACGATAAGACTAAAATTATCAAAATACATAAATAATTTAACTAAAATTATTATATATAAGTATTCAAGTAACACTTTTATAAAATGACAACATTAATATTATCAGAATAAAGAATTAGAATCATACTTTAATTTTAAATTATTCATTTATGGCATATACATTGTAGCATAAAGTATATATATATTTTTAAGTAGTCCGTATGTCATATGGATCAACTGCTAGTATAATAATAGAATCATTCGCTTTATTTAAATAATAATGTTTTAAGCATAGAATGATTTGAATGTTTCTCTAGCAGTGTCACGTGTTATGTATATGAATATAAAATTTAAAAATCATTAAAAAAATAAATAAATAAAAAATCAACGAATGATTTTTTTTTCTAAATACATCAAATACATTTATTTAAATTAAGTTCTAAAATTTTGATTATAAATATATAGGGAAAGCTTATGGTGTGCACCTCTTTTAGGGTGTATATCATATGCATCGGACTAAGGGTTGTTGTTGTGCTTTATGGCACAGCAGCCCTGCTATGAGGTCCTGTAGAGGCTTTGTTGACTATATTTTGATGATTTGAACCGGTCTATTGTAAGGTTTGTCGAGTATCTCATGCATATAAAAAATCAAATTAATCGAATATTTGTAACCCCATGATCAAGTCCTAATTGTTTTTAAAAAATTATTAAATTCATGTTAATAGTTTATTTTTATTTTTATTTAAAAAAAAAAAACAAATGTGCTGTTATTATAAGGCTACAAATGTCCAATTTACTTAATTTTTGCATGAATGATCTATTCGACGAATCTTATAATATAAACAGTTCAAATTATCGAAAAAGATTCAAAAGATGCCCTCAATGGACCTTACAGCAACCTACTGTGCCTTAAGACACAGAAACCCAACTCCATACGCATCCTACCACAAAAATAAAATAAATAAAAAACAATAATCGACACCTTTAAATAACATTTATTAACAATATACAATGCCAACTTTTAAATTTGTACTCGACCTTTTACAAGTTTTTAAACTTTGGTATTTATATTTTTTTTTCAATTTTTTTATTCTAATACCTGGGCTTTAAATGAGGTTTTTCTCCACTTTAGGTCTCATTTGTCAACTATACATTTTAACTAAAAATGTCAAAAAATCACTATAAGTTGTCACATCACCATCGCTATTTTTCTACACATCTTTTCATAAAAAGCTAAAAAATTACTAAAATAATTTATTCTCAAACGAGCCCTTAGTAAATGTTTTCAAAAGGTCTATTTCGGAACTTGGGTTGTGGCTTTTTTTTTTCTTTTTTTTTTGTGGTAAATAACTAATAAAAATAAAATAGATTAAAATAGTCAAAAAATAAAAAGTCACATTCATATTATAATCATTTTGTTTTTTCTCTCACAACTATCAAATCAACTATATAAAAAAAAAGGGGGCAAATTATAAACACCCTCCTCGAGGTTTGGTGAAAATGCAGATTCTCCCCTGAGGTTTGAGAAATTACATCCCGCCCTCTGAGGTTTATATTTTCATATCAAATTGCCCCTTGAGATTTTTATTTTCATACAGATTCTCCCTGATTTTTCCTAATTTGTTATGAAAATTTGACCCTCAGGGGACAATTTGTAATTTCTCAAATCTCAGGGGGGAATCAATATTTTTACCAAACCTCGAAGAGAGTGTTTGTAATTTGCCCAATAGTCAAATTTTCAAACGGGCCTTGAGTCAAAGACCTCGTTTGCAAACACACTATTTTAGTAATTTTTTAAAAAAACTAAGTATATTTTGAATGATTTTTGACTTTTTATAAATAAAAAAAATGCAAAAAGTATATAAAAAATGAAGTCTTTATTTTTTTGTATAATTTGTTTACTTTTTAATTTTTTTATGTAACTTTTTAACTTTTTAACTAAAATGTATACTTTTCAAACAAGACCTAAGAATTTTACATTTGTCTAGACTAAACGATTATTTTAAAAAAAAATTGAAAAAAAAAAAAAACAAACAAACAAAAAGAACTAAACAGAAAAGCTTAATGCAATAGGTTTTTTTCAACAAAAATTGGTTTTTGCAAAAACTTACAAAAAAAACGTAAAAAAAGCAGTAAAAAGTTTTCCAAAAATGAATATAAATTAAAAGAAAATTCA